CACAATCTAGATCCCTAAGAACCCAAGGTACCCTCTAAAGACTTTACCCAACCTCACAATTTGGTATTGAAGATCTTGAATGGTTTGAACCAAACCCATTGGTGTGTGCATTTCAAGGATTATTGGTGTACTCATGATTGCTTGAGGCTAAAGGATCCTCGTAGAGGTGAATCCAAGTGAAGCTACACTTAACGTCAGAGACAGAGTTCCAGTGGAGAGGCGTATTAAAGGAAATGAATATCTAACTATGGTATTGATTAAGATATAAGACTCGAATACTTGTATGTTGAATTTGGGGTAATGGATTAGGCTTTGGTGAATAGGTAGAGGTCCCCCGCGATTTTTTTTGATGAGGCTTTCTGAGTCAAAAAATCACTTGTGTCATTTATTGTTTTTACATATGTATTTATATGATTGATTGACATATGAATCATCCATAGTTGCGTAGTTGGGTGTGGGTTTTGGGATTTGGGTTCCCCGTGTGAGATTGAGTGTTTGTGGATTTAATTGCTAAAATTAACATCAATCTCGATGGGTTCATAAGGTCGTGGTGATTAAAAGCGGTTTTCATTATTAATTGCTAAATATTTATGAGATGAGGTAGATGTGGTAGAACTAGGCTTTAATTTGTAATCGATTAAGCTTAAAATTGAAAAACCTATTCACCCCCCTTTTGGTAGTGTCGTGCGCGCCACGTGTATAATCGTGAAGAAAGGTCCACTTTGTTTCTCTACCTCCCAGAACGACAAACTTCTACTCACTTGGTGAAATAGTCAGTCCCTACCAGCATGAATCTTTTGTTAGTCGGCACCTTTGGCAAGGGATTGACTATGTCTAATCCCCATTACAAGAAGAGGGTTGAGGTCCCTGACTAACTGTCAAATGATGGAGGCAAACTTTTGGTATTTTGCACATTTTTGTACATAGTGTCGGGCATCTTTTTGCATGAAGGGTCACCAATACCCCTAGGACATGACCCGACGCGCTAAGGATCTACTTTCAATGTGGTTGCTGCATATGACTTCATGAATTTCATAGAAAAGAGGTTGGATCTTTTCCTCAAGGACACACAAAGTATGGTCCTAGAACGACTTCCTGTAGATTTTTTGATCGGGTGAGATTCAATACCTCGGGGCCTTGTGCCTGACCTTTTGGGCATCCTTTTAAGACTCCAAGAGTCCTCCTATGCGTAAGTGCTTGACTAGAGTGATTTTCCTGAAACATCAAAGAAAGTCGCCATTGGTTCCGGGTTGTTAATGCTCAAGTACAGCAGGTACTCCACCTTGATCTTCCGAGTGATCTCAGAATCCAATGTCGAGGCTAGACACATGATAGCTCAATGCGATAGGTACTCCACCTATCGACCTTGCATTCCGACAAGGATAGAGAGAGGTCTGTTCGGAAGTGGCATCATTTAGGATGACGAATGCAATCGGCAACCCATACGAAGATCTGCACTTATGCCACTTATTGTTCGGATTAACAATGATTTAAGGCTGTTTTTTGCATCATGCTGTTAGAAATGTAGCCACCATCTAAAGTCATGTTAGTGAATGGAATAGCCAAATTTGATAGTTTCCATCCTTATCCAACAGGGGCAAGTGGCACCTTCTATGCAGCCTCCCCTTTGGTTGCAGAGGCTCATGCAGTAAGAAGAGCATGTTCTTCAGCACTGGAGCAAAAGAATCAGCAGGTGATTATGGAATCCGACTCTAGCAATCTGATTGAAACCTTAAACAAGGGATCAAAAGTTTCAATGTGAGAGATTGAGCCGATTAGGATGGACATTTGGAGATATGCTCAGCAAATTCCAAACATAATCTGTCAAGTTACCAGACAGTCTGGGAGTCGATTGGCCGATCTAATAGCAAAGCAGATGAATAGAGGAAACATCCCCCCAAACTGGGTTGCAGATCCATCCAATTTGCTTGGGGATTTGAGAAGGAAGCTAGGCAAGGAGGTGTCTTTGTTTAGTTGGCTTTACTTCACGTATTTACTGTTACTATTCTGAAATTTCAGAATGAAGACCCAAAAAACAAAAAGAATCCTTATCCAACATTTCAAGTCCACCAGTGTAAATTCAATGGGAAAACAAATCCAATCCACCCCTTGAAACTTTGTTCGGAATGTAAAGAAAATAGACGTATAACAGAGTTACCCAAAATAGCCAGATAAATGAACAGCAAGGCCGAATAAATATCATCAACAAAAAATATTTGAAGATCAACTTTAATTCAGAGTTGGCCCTCAGTAGAGCGAGGGGGCGTGGGGGGAGCAGAGAAGTAAAAAACGCAAGTTCCATCAACAGCATTGACAACGCCATTTCAGCTATATCCACTTCCGGAAAACAACATATTATGCCCATTATGCTCTTGCAGACAGCAACCAGTCTCAACCTACAAACACCAAAACAAATCATCATCCATATTTTTCAACAGAATGGTCATGGTGCTTTCTTCCTCTTCCCCACAAACTTGTCACATGCATGCATAGACGTGCACACGCATCAAACACCGAAAATAAGGAAAAAATATACGCATATTCCAAGATCAACCACAAATCCAGAAGCTGAGATATTCTAAGTTATGGAGTTGGAAGAAAACTATTTCTTTTTGTTTTGATAGAAAAGGTGGACATACGAAAAGCACAAAACAGACATAAGCACATAATACTTGCAACACTAATGCTATTAGAACATAATTTACGGACAAAATTTAGGAACTTAGTGTATTATGACACGTGGATTGATAGTGTTGAACTCAATAATACGTTAATGTTGGAACCCACTGACAATCTAATAACCACAATCATTAAGTCCCCAAATTATATCCTTAAATTATTTCCCGATAGCATTGCACTGCTTGCAAATAAGCTGTGAATTCTGGGTTGTCTCACCGTCAATAGATTTCAAACCCAACAAACTATTAATATCAAAAGATCCCCTCATTGTCAGAAAAGTCGATGCTGCCACCAGAAAAATCATTATACTCATCGTAATCAGACAAATTGTCAATGTCAGAAAACCCAGATGGATACTCCTCATCACACGATTCACATTCACTAATTTCAGCATAAAATCCATAGTCCTCAGTAGAGTCATCAGGATGCCTCAGATCTTTAATCTGCTCAGAACATCTTCTTCCTAAACTCCCTGCAAGATTAACGTTGAAACATAATCGCAGATCAAGGGATTCCAGTTGAGGACAACCATCAAGAATGGCCTGCAGGCCATCATTTGTCATCTTATTTCCAAAGAGCTGAAGGTGGCGTAATTCAGGCATGTTTTCTGCAATAGCTAGTGCGTCCTTATCACCAGATATGTGAAAGCGTGTGCACCCTGCCTTGTTCAATTTGAATGACTTCAGACGAGGGCAACTTCGTCCCACAGCTTCAATAGCTTCTTTGGTAATTGAGGTGTAGTAGAGATGAAGCTCCTCCAGTAACGGCAGTTTTTTAACTGCTTCAATCAAACCTTCACTTGATATATTATGGCAACATGCAAATCGAAGACGTTTCAGCTGACTCGAGCTGTGAACAGGGTGCGGAACAAAGAGACAGGGTAAATCAGTAATTGTGTAGAAGTAATAAAGAAATGTGTTTATCTGTGTGCATGCAAGCAGAGATGCCCACACGACCACATGAAGACAAAAAGGTGAAAAAATCTATATCTCTTCTAAAGAGGGCAATGGTTGCTAATTTGCATTAGTGAACTGAACTAAGCAAGTCTGATGAGGAATAAGCTACATTTAGCACAGAAACAAGGTCAGGCCCTGAATGATGAAAGCTAGAACACACTGAGCTCAAATCAAGGTGGGTTTCATGACAGCATTCCAAGTTCAAATAAACTAATTTAAGCATCAAAACACTCAAAAGCTCCTCCCAGCACCTATTAACTTTTTATCAGCGGGTACTTCAGAAATATCCTTTCTTGGACCCCTAATACTGACAAACTACCATGTACCAGCTCATGATAATTTGAACAGACAAGTTGGGGTATTACTAACACAAAATGGTAAAAGTAATCTCTAAAGAAGTAAACAAATACGAAAATACATTCATGGGCCCAAACGAAAAAACTAAATAATCTAAGCAGGCACACAATTCAAATTGGATAGGCTAACATTAAGTGTTGTGCAATCAAAGAGAGATAAGAAATTTCTCTATTGCAAATCAAGTAATAATCAAACAGAGACTGCTACCAATAAAAGATTACTAGAGAACTTAGAATCCACGCCTGTCCACATTAAAAAAAGTGCAAAAACAGTCACGCTTGACGACAATACCAGCAATAAAACTCCACAAAAATTAACAGTTGTCTATAGAATCAGAGTCCAGAAAAAGTTAACATCTAATAGCACCCCAAATACAATAAATGACATTATTCTTTTGGTATACCGAGGAAACATAAAGCATATGAAAGCAGAAGTTAAATCACCGTTGCTGTAGTTAAGCAAAGGGAAACAAGAAATTTAGCATAAAATCATTGTCATTGTAGCTTTGTTTCAAAACCATCAACAAAGTATTCCTTTGACGTGGACATAAGATATAAATCCATATCAGAACATAAACCATATGCTTCTAACTAAGAAAACATAAGATATAAAGTTTTCTCTCACTTTCTCTCTTTCTTTTTCAGCAACCTAACTAAGTAGAAGGAAAAACTAATAGATCAGAAACTTGATGCCATTCATAACCACTCAATAATATCTTCTTCGGGTCATCAATGCCCCAAATATCGTATTGGTAAGTTATTTGCAACTCTTTGCCTTTGATCTGTTACTCAAAACCAAATAAGCAAATTATTTTCCTTCCCTACTTCAACCACGGTGGCACGACCAACCAAATGATCACAACAGGCAATGATGCTACAAAAAATAATACACTTTGATAAACCATTTGAAGCAAAACTATTCGCTTTGATCAGTCATCAGTGATATATAACTAGCTTCAAAAAAGTAAAAATATTCCTTTCAAGAGATCAGGTCAACAAAACACAAATCTCTTTTCCACTGTTTCCTCAACAACCAAAGAAGTCCAAAATCCGAAAAATAACAATCATGACTCATAGATGTGCAAAATTGTTTTAGTTTGGATGTATTTTATCTCTCATCCTATACAGACGTATTCTGGCGGTATCCATATCCTACTTTTTAAGATTTTATCGTCTTGTCGTGTCCGTATCCATATCCATGCTTCCTAGGATCTAATATGTAAACATAATGAGTATATATATATATATATATATATATATATATATATATATATATATATATATTAAAGTTATTTTGTTGATTTATATGATGATCTATTACTAACTTATGTTGCTTATATAATTGTAATTGTAATTTTGTGATATTAATGTTATTTTTGATTTATTACAACAATTTTGTTAGAATGATTTTCTTATTCCTATGGTTCTCCACCTAAGTCGCGTGTGGGATTTTGGCCGTGTCCGAGAGATAGGAGTGAAAGATAGGAGTGAGGCCATTTATGTTCCCCGTAAATCGTTAACAGCAAGAGTAGGAAAAAATAAGAACACTATAACAAAATTACTGCAGCAAAAAGTCACTGTAACATTACTGAAACAAAATTAAAAGACAAATTACGGTAACAACCTAAGGGTAACAGTAACACATATAAGTCAACAGAAACTTTTTGAAAAGCAAAATGGCATTAAGACTATTTAAATTTGGGAATAAACATAAAAAAGATTATGTAAAGAATCTTGAAGAAGTTGAATTTTCAGATATTGAAAATAAATTACAAAACTAGGATACACCCGAGTATCCAACTAAGAAAATATATAATATTGGAACGTTTGATTTTAAATCAAGTATAACAATTAAAACATTAGAAAGAACTATTACCTTGATCAACATAGGGATACTCTACAACTCTTAACAGAAAGAGAAGTCTTAAAAGTACAAGAAAATTATAAATTTTACATATAGGATTAGTCCAAATGGCTTTTAAAACCATTAACTCTTCAAGAATTAAATGTCTCTTTTATGCTAGCTTTAAGAGATGCTAGATGTTTAGACTTCGATCAATCCATAATGGGAGTTATGCAATCTAGTTTAAGCACTGGTGCAGTTTACTTAACTGTTTTCCAAATTTATTAGTATCTTTAACTGATAAGAATATATTAGATGTTTTAACATGCAATATTAAAACTTATGGTTATAAATTTAAAGAAGGAACGGATATAATGATCTTTACCTATAAAGTCTATTATAGAGTAATGAATACTCTATCACCAGAAGCTAAGCTTCATAATCTTAAAGGTCAAACCACTCTAATTGAAACTAATATGATAAAAAATAAAATTGAAATTCCTAAAACCATTAAATGGTCAGAAATTCAATTTTCAAAAACATGGCAATTTGAAGCTATTGTTCCCAAGAAACCAAAAATAAATCAAGAAGTAACACAGATCGCCCAATCATCTCAGGGTGATGTATTAATAAGATTTGCCAAAGAAAATCTTCCAAGATTAAAAATCTCTAGTAAATCAAGCACTTCGTCAGTTTATAATACTCCTGATAGGAGGTCCAGTTCTTCCATCCCTGATAGAAAAGAGGAAAAGATCCCATAATTAAGGGAATCCACACTTCAAGTAACTAGATTCCACATGGAATCTATAGGCAAAATAATGAATCTTTCTTATAGGAAGATCAAGATTCAACTGTATCCAAAATCGAATTTTAACTATAAATTTTATGGATTTAAAACCAAACAAATTTATAGTAAGTAAAAAAGAAATAAATAAAGAATTTTATCTTCCTAAATATGAAGAATTTATGAATTGATATTTTAAAATTATGAACCAAGAAGCTATTAATAGATATAAAGAAATGTTTTACCTTTTTATAAACAAGGAAAAAAGAGTAATTCCTTTTGTTCAATGGTTTCTAACTTTCTATGCTCCACCTACAATGGATCAATTAAATGTAATTGAAAATTTTCAACATAAGTGGGAAACTCTGGATGATAAAAACATCACTATTTTGTACCCTTCAACCACTGAACTTAAATGGAGTGTGAGAAGTCGTTATGAACACCTACTATACTTTAAAAGATAATAATGATATAGGAAAAAGTATATCCATCAAACAGAGTAATTACATAAATGTTTGCTTACAAGTTGTAGGACAACATTTAAAAAAAATTAAAAATTTAATTAAAGATCAACAAAAAAAGGAGCTTTGATTTCTTTTAAACCCTTAAAGGACAAAACAATTGAAATTGAAAAGATAAAATATTAAACCTCCAGTTGACACTTCAAAAATAAAGTTGAAGATGAGTTCATAACTGAACTCAATAATAAACTAAATAATTTATCATTAAATGTAATTTCTCAAACTGAGTGTAGAGCAATATAAAACTAAAATTCAGCAGTTTGAAGAATCTCTGCATCAGATACAGTCTAAAGTAAATAAGATTGGGTATTCTAAACCTAAAAAACAAACACACACATACATACTCTGAAACACTCCCCCCCCCCCCCCCCCCCCCCAAAAAAAAAAAAAATAAGGGTTTATTATCAAAGATCAACACCTCAAGATATTTTATATGAGAAAATTTTGTTTATTGAACAAACTGGTTATAATGCCTCTTTCATTTATGAATGGAATATTGACGGAATGTCAGAATATGTAATTCATCAAGTTTTACATAAAATGTTAATGTATGCCTCTGTATGTAAAGCCAATTGAAACACAGACCATAACATTGCTAAATTTATTATAGCAAGATTTACTGGCCAACTACGAGGTCAGCAGGATTTACTGGCCAACTACGAGGTTGGTGAGATAATTACTTAAGTTCAACTCAAAGGCAAAATGCAGTAAAAATTATAATAGCTACCAATAGAAGTATAACTCAAGAGGACGCTATATATATCTTAATATAGACAATTTTAAAACATTTTGTAGCAACAAACTTACAGGGCAGAAATAAGAGTAAAGAATTTATAATAAATCTGAGATGCCCCACTTTAACCCATTTTAAATGGTATAAAGATGTAATTTTTGCTAAAGTTCTATTAAGAACGGATGCTAATAATGAGTCTTAGAAAGAAAAATTTATATCAGGATTACCCAATCTATTTGCTGAAAAAATAAGAATTCGTTTAAAACAAAGACATGGTGGTTTTACAATCCCCAATGAAAATTATACTTACGGAAATTAATCTCTAAAGGTATTTCGGAAGGATTAGCTCTTTATAATGATTAAATCTTAAAGCTCAACTTATGAGACATAAATTAACTGGTCGCAAAGAACTGGGAGAATTTTGTAATCAATTTGCTTATATTATTGATATTTCAAAAGATAAATCTCAAACAAAAAGAAAAACATATTCTAGACCTTATAAGAAAAAGAGAAAATTCCATAAAAGGAATTATGAAAAAGATAAAACTAACAAACCCACTAGAAGACTTAAAGGCAAAAAGTAAAAAATCTATTAAATGTGAAAAATGTGAAAAATTAGGACACATTGCTCCCAAGTGTCTAACTAAACAAAAAATAAATGAACTAATTATCGATGAAAATCTTAAAGATAAAATTTTAAAAATTGTACTAAATTCAAAAAGTAAGGAAGAAGAGTCTTCTGACTCATTTTCTGAAGAAGAATCATGTAATCTTGAAAATGAAATAAGTAATTCATCATCCAATGAAAACAAACAAGAACAGGATAAAGATTGTTAATCACACTACAAGGCACAAGCTAATTATTATAAAGCTATTTTAGATATGAATGAATTAAGTATAAATGTTTTAACTAAGTCACAAACATTAATTCTTGATCATATAGATCAAATTCAAGATCCTGTATCTGAGAGTCCGTTTGGTTAGCAAAAAAAAATGATGGAAAGTAAAAGAGATAGAAAGTGTAGTGAAGGAAAAAAACATGAAAAAAAATATATTTTCATGTATATATGTGGTTAGCATAAAAAACTCCTAAGAAA